GTGTTTGCGCAGGGTGCCGGGCCCCTTCCCGGCAAGGTGTGGCCGTTCCCGGCTGGCTGGCTGGCTGGCCGGTCCTGGCTCTTTGTTTCGCCAGGAGGGAGCGGGAGGGAGGGTTCCCCCCCCCCGCTCGGTGGCCTTCCCAGCGCAGTCCGGTCGGGCGTTTCAGCTCCCCTTCTCTCTCCCCCTGCCTTTGTTCCGCAGATTAAATCCCAGCAGAGCGAAGTGACCAGGATCCTGGATGGAAAGAACATCAAATACAATCTGGTGGATATCTCCCAGGACAATGCCTTGCGGGAAGAAATGAGGGCCAAATCCGGCAACCCTAAAGCCATTCCACCCCAGATTTTCAATGGGGACCACTATTGTGGGGTGAGTGGAGAGCATCCTGGGGTGCAGCCCGGATTAAAACACTGATCACAAAAGAAAGTCAGGTTTAGCTATCTGTAATGACTGGTGGCCGGCGGGGGGGGGGGGGCTATTGAAAGGATTAAAAGAACAACAGTATCTAGATAAATTTTTCAGGGGGGAAAAACCCAAGTATTGTCTGACTTTATGTATTTTCTCCCCTCCTTGGAATGCCAGCATGTTGAGAGCAGAAAGATTAGAGATGAGATCAGAGTTAACGGGCCTTGTATTTCCTGAACCCACTGATAATCCCAGGACCCCTTCCCCCACACACACACACACACAAAGAAGCCAATCTAACGACAATCCAGATAAGGTTCTTGGCATTATTGATCACCCAAAAATGGCATGGAATGTTTCTTCACCCCATCACATCGGGACAAAACAAAAGGCCTTCCAGTGGCAAAAGGCAATAGGTTTGCTAAGACTTCCTTTTGTTCCAGCTGCTATTTGTCTGTTCCTTGACAAGAAGGTATATGGCAAATGGCGGAAAATGGGACATTGATTTAAAGCTGTTCATATGTCCGTGGCAAAAGGCCTGCCTTTGTAGGTCTGATTCTGTCTGAATCTTGCAAGGTAAAGGTTATGGTGGGGGAATTAAAATGACCATTCTGTCATTAGGCAGACTACTTCTGCCTAATTTATGTGGTCTAGCTCAGTGGGTTGGAGGCATGGGTGATGACAATTCGGGGCCCTGGCACTTGTGTGGCCTGGGACAAGCTTTGGGGTCCCAGAGTGCCCCCAGGAGGAGGCACTGGTGAACTACACCAGGCTACTTGACCACCAGGCCAGGTTACCATTAAGGTAGAATTGTAGGTGAACTTACATATGCAGTGCCTGTGACAGTGTCAACTTGGTTTTTGAGGCATAAAGCCTTGAACCAAATCAGATCTGTGCAAATTAATAAAGCAGGCCTTGCCTGCCTACTAGAAAAACATGGTTGTACTGATTTCGGCAGTGGTGGGCAGAAAATAAATCAGGATATACTGGTAGATATCTGGGTGCATAGGTCCAAGGATTTCCAAGTCAGCCCTAACTTTAATTAGAGCAAGTCACATCTCAGGAAATAAATGCCTCCTTTAATTCAGCTCTGTTGGCTGCTTTTCGAACCCCATTTTAGAGTCTCTTCCCTCTGATTAACCTGGAAATCAATTCTGTCGTGTCTATGGGTGAAGGAGATAAGTACTCGCTGAAGACGACAGGTATTTTAATCCAACTCATTTGGAGAGCATCGAGTTGAGGAAGGCTGTTTCAGAGCTTTGACATGTGGGCCAAATTCAGGGCGTTAGGCTCCTTTTGCAAGGACCACAGATGGCCTTTTTAAATTATCCTTCTGGAGGGAAGGGTGAGCAGACATCAAGTGAGAATTAAATTGGTTGTTTAAAAGATCCCAGGTTTCACAAACTGAAGCCAGTGTCAAAAAGCAGACAGTAAGCCAGTTCCAGTTTTCTAGATGTTGTTGACCTGAGGGGTTGCATCCGGAAGGCTACAAGTTGCGTTTAAATTTCCTGCTTATTCTCAGCTTTCTTTACCTCTGCAGTATAGAGCAAAGGGGAAGTCATTTTATTGCTGTTACCCTTAAACAATTTTTGCTGATATGTTGGGGATTACTCAGAGTAGATTCCGATCTATCTTCTGCCCTGCCACCTTGCACTAAATAAAACAGGTTTTAAAAAAAGGCTACACGGGATGTTTTAAACACAACAGTAAAAAGAAAAGGTGTTATTTTGCAAGTTGCCTTTGAGAAGACAAACTGGAGTGGCTGTCTAGTAATGCTGAAATCCAGGAAGTCAATACTGTCTACGTTCAGCTAGCAAAATGCATAATAATGCAGTGGGGGTTAGGCTGTGCCAAAATGGGAGGATGTATGAGCTTATTGCTCCAGTGACTCAGTAACAGCTGGGGAAGTAATGAATGCCTGCCAAGCCCATCTTTGAGATAAAATGAAATCTGAACTGTGCACTTGAGTGAGGGCAGCACATCTATTTATCAATAGGTACTTCCCTCTCATTTTCTCCTCCCTAGCTGAAGGCTCCCTTGAGGACATATGAGGAACCTCTAGAATGGAGCTGACTTTTAAGACACAAAATGCATTAACAATGGCCACCTTGCAAATGAAAAAGCTTTCCTAGTGAATGTTCCCTTTGTCAAAGCTAGCATTTGAAGCTGGTTTTGGAGAAAGGGGGAAGGTGGCTGTGGACCAGACAACCGTGCCGCTTGGCTCAAGGCCACGGGATGTTTGCAACAGGTTCTCCACTGCCTGCCACCACAGGCAAGACGTGATCCCCCTTGCAAATGAAAAAGCTTTCCTAGTGAACGTTCCCTTTCTCAAAGCTAGCATTCGAAGCTGGTTTTGGAGAAAGGGGGATGGTGGCTGTGGACCAGACAACCGTGCCGTTTGGCTCAAAGCTACAGGATGTTTGCAACAGGTTCTCCACTGCGGGAGAACTTTCCACAAGCTGGTGCTTCCCAGATGTTTTAGACTGCAGGCCTCCTCATGGTTGACTGTGCTGGCTGGAGCTTATGGAAGGTACTATATGTACAGTGGTGCCTCGCAAGACGAATATAATTCATTCCGCAAGTAGCGCTATTTTGTGAAAAAATCATCTTGCAAAAAGTGGTTTCCCATAGGAATGCAATGCAATGCATTCCTATGGGAACCTCGCAAGATGAAGTACTTTTTTTTTGTCTTGTGAGCCATCGGTCTTGCCAAAAAAAAATCATCTTGTGAAGCACGGCCATAGAAGAAGCCGTCTAGCGAGGCACCATAGTGATTACAAAACCATTCGTCTTGCGGGGTTTTCATCCCGCGAGGCGTTCGTCTTGCGAGGCACCACTGTACAAACATTTGGAAAGCACCACAGGCCAGGCCATTGCCAAAACATATTCTTGTGCCTTGACCTGATGGTGATGATGTGACTCTTGTTCCAGTTGTAGCTCTAATAGAAAGCGATTCCTTGCCTTTTGTTGCCTTGTTCTTGACCCAGCATTTGAGTGTGATCTTCCTTCTTCTCCCACCTGGCAGGACTATGAACTGTTTGTGGAAGCAGTGGAACAGAACACCCTGCAGGAATTCCTGAAGTTAGCCTGAGCATGCTTCTCCCGAAGCCCAGTTCTTCTCCCCCCTCTCCCCAAAAATCCCACCCTGGACTTTGAATTTTGCATTCCAAATGGACCCCGCCTAAGCCTCCCAAGCCATCGGTGTCTCTGTCCTCACCCTCCATGACCAAACTCGTCTCCAAATCTTGTTGCCTGCTATACTTTCGGTGTGGCCTCAAAAGACTTTGCATAGTCTTCTGAATGCAGCCAGGCCTTCCTCCTTGTGCCTCTTTTCCAATCAAGGACCTTGGAAAGCAGAGCTTTCCCCAATCTTTTTTTTTTAAGCCCCCTTCCTTTTCTTTTCCTCAAGTCGAACCTGCCTTTGAGAAGAAGAAGGCAGGCTGCCATTCCTTGCTCTACTGTCCCCAGTTACCCTTCACTGTACAAATGTTGGTTTCTGTGCCACCTCCTTCCTCCCTAAACCAGGAAAGGAGGGTGGCTGAGGCCTGCAATTATTATTTTTGTTATATAGCCGTGCAAAAGCGCTGTGCAGGATTTTGCGCTGAAACTTCACTCTGGGCCAGCTAGATTGGGTGTGTCTTACAATTACGTCTAGGGCAGCTTGGATTGTCCAGGGAGAGCAGTTTCCAAGAGGATGGCAAGCGCAGCTCACATATTCCATTAGTGCATTCCAACGCCAGTGTGGCAGTGGGAGGAGGAAAACCCTCCCGAGGAAAAAGAGAAGTACATATGATTTTATACTGTTCTCGGCTCATCTGTTCCATGTTTTTCTCTCTCTCTTTTTTTTGGAACTGCCTTTTTGAAAACACGGACAAAGTGCATCTTCTTGGTTGTTGGTTTTTTTTTCCTTGCTAAAAGCAATTTGTAAACAGCCATCTCTTCTGAGATGCTATTAAATGTTGCTAAAAACCTCAGCTTCAGTTTTCTGTGTCTTGTTACTTAGAAGCCGAGTGCCATTCAGTGTATTGATTCAGAAGTCCATTTTAAAGCTCTCCAAGCAGGCGGAGATCCTCTGAGGCCAAATCTCTGCCCAAGGAGGTGTCTAGACTTGAGTGTAGAAGTACGGCCCAAACCCCAGAGGCAGTACAGGAACACCTTGCATGTTGAGGAAGGTCTCAAAATGGGATTGCGGATGGGGCGGGAGACCCCATGGCATCTTTAGGAAGTGGGTGTGTTTTACATGTGTGTGCTGTTTCTCAAATTACGGCACAATGTTCATCTCTAGCAAGATGGCTCAGTTACTTTTGTCATCGCCGGTAATGGGGAAAATGATACCAGCCATAAGGGATGAGTGGATGGACGTTTGATCATTATCAGCAATGGCAGCCCTTGCTGCTTTCCAAAGCCGTTTGGATGGTTTTCCTTTGACTACCTGAAGGTTTGGGAATTGGGGGTCAGCTGAAGTGCAGATCTGACACAATTTTTAAAATGTGGTTATTTGTAACTCCTTCCACGATTAGAAGACCACCATATACCTCCTTTTTGCTCAACTGTGCTTAACTAGTATCATACTCATTCACCAACTCCAAACTGCTCTACCCTTGCCCAAGGGGGAGAACTCAGGTGGCAAACCTGAAGATTTACAAAACCATTTTAACCACTGGAGGGGTCTGTAAGGAAGGAGAAAGCTCAGAACAGCCCAATGAGGATAGCAGGAAGGAGGGACTAAAGTGATGACATGGAACAGAGTGGTCAGCTGGGACCCCGAACAAGAAGATTCCAGAGTGCCATACTTTGCTGCAGGTCTGGGTCAGGTGATGAAGATGGAAAGGGAGGACCTCAACTGCTTCTTATAGCCTTCCTGCACAACCTAGAGGGCTTCTGGCAATTTTAATAGTTGGATGTGTTGTATGACACCTGTTAAAACATACTACCGTGCTGTGGGTCCAGTGGCAGTGAGCTACTGGGCTGTGAAGGGACAAGTAAACAAATAAAGCAGTTATGGATTGCTAACACTCAGAACAAATTTTAAGGTTGAGAAAGTGCACCTGGCAGAGCTTTCACAGAATGGTACATTTTTATAACTGACAAAGGCAAAGAGGTGGGGGAAAGGAGAGCTGCAGATGTTCGAGTCCTCCATCATAAGAGGGAGGTTAGCAGGAGAAAAGAAAAGCAAGCAGGATGACTGACGTGGACCGCTTTGGGTGGCATTATTGGCCACTGTGATTTGGTGATTTTTAAGCAAGCCTTCTCTGCCATGCTAGGCTTATACATAAAGAGAAAATTTTGGCTCGGGAAAGCTCCGGATAGACAATTCTATCTGGCCCTGCATTGTAAACCCAAGGAGAGTAAGGTGCTTAGAACCTGAAACTAGGGGAAAGGTGCCTGCCTAGCTTTTTCTGAGCCAGTGCAGAGATCCAGGGAAAATCATTTGCCTGTTGCTGTAGGCTTGGATCTAGTGGAGGGAGCAATAACACAGAGCAAAAGACTGAACTTGGTGGATCTTCCGGAAGTTTGAGTCGGGTGAGCCTAAACCTAGCAGTGCAAAAGAGAAATGAGTCGGTCTTTGGCTTGGCCCAGTCCCAGAAATAGCAAAGGGCACCGTTACTATTAAATCAAGCTAGTTTAAATGGACGAGAATCTCATTTAGTCATGGAAGTTCAACAGGATGTTCTGACACCACATCCGTGTTAGGGAGAGAGAACCAGTTTCCATTAAGAAGTGGGGCGTTGCTCTTTTCTAGCAGGTATTTCCTAGATGTTGCTAGACTACACTCCCATTTGCCATAGCCAGCTCAGGCAACGCTGAAAGATCATGGCTTTTTGAGTTTAGCAGCATCTAGAAGGCCATGCACTGTTGAGCCCAGATGTAAGTATTTGCAGTGCATTATAATGTGTAAGTTCTTGAATTGCCCATGCAGCCGCAGCCTTTTGGAAACAATAGTTGGCAAGCTGGCTGGTGATATCTTTTTGCTTCAAAACAGGCAGAGTTTCCTGTTAGCTATTTCCTGTTCTATCCAATGCAGTCAAAGAACGGAGCTCCAGATGTTCTGGTTCTCCAATGCCAGCATTCCTTACTATTTCTACTGGGGGGCTGATGAGATTTGCAGTCCTACAATATCTGGAGGGCTGCCCTTTGGCCATACCCCTATTTTGTGGGTTAACAGGCTTGCAGCACAGGTGAATTTAACACCACTTACTATACAAAGGGGGTGGGGAGGAGAAGCCTCAAGAACACGGTGTGCTCTAACTTATGGCCTGGAAAACTACATGTGATTTATCAACTTGGCGATACATTTTTGGAGAAGCTTACGACAGCTGAAGAAGCAGGCGCTTGCACCGGAAATCCAGCTGTGCTTTCCTTGGAGCGATGCCTTAATGCTTCTGGAGAAAGCTCAACAAGAGCCAGAATAATTTGCTTGGAAGTGGGGAGCTGCGTCAAGAGCTCAAGGGTGTCCCATTCCTGTTGGGTAGGAAAACAGGGGGTTTAATGCACAACATCTTCAACTGAAGGAACATGATCTCCTTTTACAGCTACAGAGCTGAGAACACCAATGAAGGTGGGTTGTGTGCTGCCACATTCCCATATTGAAGCTGCCCTAGCTGTACCTAACCATGGCCTCTGCTGTGAGCATTACAGTGTGGCCCACGCATGATGCGCATGGTGCGGAAAAAGAAGGCAGACTACTTCTCAGCTGAGTGGCAGCCAACCCTGATGAGTCATCCACTGTGAACCATTACATCGGTTGTCCTTGCAGTTTGGCGGAAAGGGCTTTCCTCCGCAGCAGAAGGGAGGCGTTGGGGACCAGCCCACATTCCTCCAGGGTCATCAAGTTGTCATCGTACACCCGATTGGGAAAGGTGCTCAGGATTTCATAGGGTTCTGTTTCTTCTCCCCTGGAAAACAGGAGAACAATGCACGCAGTCGACCGGCTCCAGGGTTTGCACATCTTCAGGATTTGCCATTCAAATGGGGAATGTATTTTGAATGGGAAATTTTACATCACACGCGAAGGACAATTTGAATGCAAAATTTTGCTTTCAACCACACATGCTCCAGAATAGGTGGCATTTCTTCACTCTCTGGGTAGGGGAGATCAAATAGAAAGCCTCACTAAATGGTCACATTAGAGACTGCTGCATGTCATGCAAGGGTTTTTATACATTTCTCTTATTTCTAATTAGATTGCCTTTCTCCCAATAAGGCAACTCATTACTCATCACTACATGTCAAATCAGTTCTCAGCACCTATCCAGTATTAGCGATAAAATGTCAAGTACTCCAGTTTCAGAGATAGTTTAACACAAACATTTGCAGATAACGGCTTCGGATTTCTGGAATATAACTTTGCCCAGTTAAAATCAATGATGTTTTCCTCGGTCAGCCACATCTTTTGGACATGAGGGGATTTTCCTAAGACCCTCGTATCTCATGCCTTATGAAAAGTCTGGATGCACTGATGGCATTTCACTACATCAGACTGAAAGGAACTTATCTGTGGGCACATTGTTATATTATCACCCTTAACCATTCTCTGGGCAAAGCTCGACACTCTGGCTGTAGCCACATAGGCAGAATATAAAATGGTTTATAAGGGGAGAGATCAAGGATCTGGGCAGGCAAGAAATGAGAACGTCAACATTTTACAACTCCCAGCATCCTTGACTGGAGGAATATTGAGAGATGTAGCCCTGGAAAGTAATTTTTGGAAGTTCTGGATCTTTCTTGTACAGTGGAGATAACGGCTTCGGATTTCTGGAATATAAATTTGCCCAGTTAAAATCCATGATGTTTTCCTCGGTCAGCCAAATCTTTTGGACATGTGGGGATTTTCCAAGACCCTCGTATCTCATGTCTTATGAAAAGTCCGGCTGCACTGATGGCATTTCACTACATCAGACTGAAAGGAACTTATCTGTGGACACATTGTCTTATTATCACCCTTAACCATTCTCTGGGCAAAGCTCGACTGTCTGCCTGTAGCCACATAGAATATAAAATGGTTTATAAGGGGAGAGATCAAGGATCTGGGCAGGCAAGAAATGAGAACTTCGACATTTTACAACTCCCAGCATCCCTAACTGGAGGAATATTGGGAGATGTAGCCCTGGAAAGTAACTTTTTGAAGTTCTGGATCTTTCTTGTACAGACATCGTCTTGCAAGGCACCACTGTACCTGACTTGGAACCCAGATGCCTGCACAGGACACGCCATCTGACAGGGTATTTTATTTTCCTCTGCCATCTGAAAGCCATGCCCCTAAAGACCTTTGCCTTAACCACTAATCCACATGCATTCACTCCTCATCCCTCTTTTCCTGGGTTTATCCTCTTCCACTCTGCCCCCACCCAAATTTGAATGAATCACTAAAACCGAGCACATGCCGCTTTTTTCCTTTTGCTTACTGATGAACAACATCCGGGGGTGGTGGTGGTGGTTGGGGAGTGTGAAGTGCAGGAATGAAAGCGGGGACCCCTTTTTCTTCCCAACAAGCTAGTTTCACACAGGTTTCCTTCTCAAGCTCTGGAATGACTATTCTTCTCACCTGTTCTGGGCAAGGTATCGCCGCAGGTCTCCAATAGTCTCCGCAAATGCCATTTTGATGACATAGGTCTTCTCCCCGTTCTCTGACCTGATCCGAAGAGTGGAGACTTTGAGATCGGATGCTTCCTCCTTTCTGTGTTCTTCCAATCTGAAAGTCAGGGCAGGCAGATGAGAAACTTAAGGTACGCTAGCAGGTGTGAGTGGTCCCTTTGCAAAACATGCTTGGCTGCATACCAGGCATAGAGAGCAGAGCTATCAGGAATGGGGACCACAGAAACGAACAGGCTGTCTCCTAAGAAAGGCACTGTGGAGGAGAGGTCCTTGATACAAAAGTGTGTAATAGCACACAGCAATTCCTAAAAGACAACCTAGCTCACCACTAAAGAACCTTAGCAGAGAGTCATAAAATCACAGAGTTGAAATGGAGCTTAAAGATAATCTAGTCCTATCTCCAGATAACTGACTAATGGACCACCCAAGTTGGTTTAAGCATCTCCAGGGAAAGGGAGGGAGTAGGGGAAGGGAGTAGGGACAGGTAGTAGGGAGTAGGGGAAGGGAAAAGTGCCACTTCCCTGTGCAATCTCTTCCACTGTAATAGAGTGCTCAACTCTGTCACTAAGGTGTAATCCCTGCCCAGATATGGAGTTTGCAAAGTGAAGCCAATTCAGATCAAATTGGGATCCACCCTTTATCCACAGGTAAAATGGGAAAACAAAGTGCCACACTCCTTTATAGAATAAAACTGAATAAAAGAAATATTAGTTTAGTAAGAAATACTATTTTAATTATTTATTACTTTATGTATTGCACTTCAACGCCACTGTTGTCCCAGCAACAAGACTCAATATCACTACTTATATAAAGAGAACCAGTGATAGATTCTGACCTCTTTTTCATTTCTGAAAGGCTGGGTGTCTCCACCAGAACCACCTCATGGCTTCGTGCTCCACCCAAACCCTGAAACCAAAGAGGTAAATCAGGATCAGGATCTATCTGTTCTGAAAGATGTCACCCTGGCATTCCCACGTCTAGGGAAGAAAAGAGCGGTCTATACTTGAAATGTTGAGCATTTGAGAATATGGTCTAGTACTGGATCCATTTTCTTGGCCCTCTAAACCCAGTCCTTAGATCAGCCTTCCCCAGCCTAGGACCTTCCAGTTGTGTTGGATTACAATTCTCTTATCACTTCCAACAAGTCAGGGTCATTGATGATCATCAACTTCTTACATCTGTATCTCTTAATAGGCAATGATATGCCCCCCCCACACACACACACACACACAACCTTTGGTTACCTTGCCAACAAAGATAATCAAAATGAATCAATGGCTGAAAATTCACTGGAGAGCATAAAATCTTTAGCAATTGTTTTTGGCATATTTTCCTGCCAGATTTGGATGAATTAATGGATGAGGGGGAAGGAGAGAAGGATTCTGCCTGACTGCTGGGTTTTTCTTTGGTGGGAAGTGGAGAGAAGGGCTCTGTGTCAGAGTACAGCACCCAAGTATCCACATCAATGATGTGAGGAATGGGATATTGGTAGAAGCAATCTTACAAACAAGCCCTTACAAACAATCTTATAAACATGCAGCCCTGGCAGAGGGTCTCTATCATACCTTCAGGATTTTCCTGATCTCTCCCCGAATATCAATCACTTGCCCACCTTGGATCAGCGATTTTGGAAGCTTGTTCAAAAACTGCTCCACCGTTTGCTTAGGACCTGCCATAAGAGAGGATGCTGGAAATTGACAGGTTATGGAATGCATGCGCAAAGAGATGGCCAATGGTGAAGTTCTGGGTTTGTACCCTAAGATCTTCTCAATGTGTGGCCACAAAGCTCAGGCCAAGGATTCTCTCGCCCAGCGATAGGAATGTGTAGCTCTCATGGGCCTGTGACACCCGTCAGTCCTAAACAGTCAATGAGCCAGAACCTAAAAATGTTGTCATGCTGGCTGAGGGAGTGTGGGAGCTGCATCCCCACAGTATCAGGAAAGCCGTGTGTTCCACAGCAGCCCCACTCCTGCCACTAGCAAGAGAAAGAAAGACCTATGGGAGTTTCCTCACAGGAAGAACATCTCAGCCCTCACATGCGCATCAATCCCCGCCTAAGTCATTGGGCAAAAAGTGACCAGTCACAGGGAGCTCATTTCTGCTTTTCTCAGCAGATACTCAGACCCAATTCTCAGTTGACCCGAGATTCCATGAGAAGCAATCTGGCCTGCTCCATCGGCTGAAATGCATGCCACAGAGTTGTACCAAATTAACAACAACAGCCAGCCAAGGGAGCTCAATCTGGCCCAAACTGATTTAAATGTATGTATTAAAACACATTTTTACCTTCTGCTATTATCAATATGAATCCCACTCTTTGTCCTCCATTCTCTGTAGAATGAATTAGCTTTAGATTGGTCCACATTTAATCATTTTGTTTAAAATCTGTACTCCATCTTTTAGACTAGAATTCTCTCAAAGTATCTTGCAACCTTCCCTAAGAACAATGGTTTGGATTCCCACTAAGTCAGAGTTGACCCACTGAGATCAATGACAATTTAGTCAGGACTAACTTGAGACCCAGTCATTTGAATGGATCTCTTCTGAACACAACCAAGTATGGATCCAACTCATGCTCATTAAAAATGTTGCCAGTTAAGCCATGAGGATAGAATGGGGCTGAAAGAGGTAGGAGAAAACAGAGGAATAAGTTTAAAACCAGAATCATTGAAAAAATAATATAATTTAGAGTGTAACTCCTGAAGCTTTCCAATGTGGTTCTTTCCAGATGAGATGGCCTACACGCACCTCCTCAACATTCTGATCCAGTGTGACCAATGTTGCTTGAGGATTATAGGAATTTTATTCCAAAGAATGCCAGGTTGAGAAAGGCTTAGCCAGGGTCTCAAAGAAAAGGCAGCCAAAATATCACTTTTAAAAAGCAAACCACCATTAACCACCTCACCCAGAATCTCATTGGTCTCCTTTATTCTAGTTGGTTTTGAATGGTCAGTGACACGGCCCATGCCAGGGAAACTCTCTGGTATCTCCCTCTCCTTAAAGAAGACATCTCTCTTGTCTGTGACCTGTTGAGTAAACCAGGATTGGTATTTAGTGTCTTGCTGGACCTTAAACTCCAGAGGTCAGTATTAAGCTAGGCAACAGTTTAAAATGTCAGCTCCTGAAAAAGTAGGAAATGAAAAACAACTCAATCTCCATGACCTTCTGTGGACACTCAAAAGAAATTACCCACACAGATGGCTATTGGTTGCAAATGTATGGTGTCACCTCTAAACCATGGGGGTGAGGGGGATAAAGGTTCATTGTCTGTCCCAGAAGTGCAGTCAAATCACATCCAACTCACAGTGACCCTAGTAGAGCTTCAAGATAAGTGAGATACTTAAGGAATGGTTTTACCAGTTCCACCTCTCCGTGGGTTTCCACAGCCGAAGGGAGATTTGTATCAGAGGCAGCACCTTGGCTTCCCTACTCTGCCTCCTCTAGGCACTGCCCCTGAGTGGGTGCCTGCTGGAGGAGGCAGGGCTGGAAAGTGATGAACAACTGTTTGGCCAAAAAATTAGCCAGCAGAAACCACCAAACTGGCAGTTCATGCCCATCTCTAGTTAAAATACAGCACTTCAGAATGAGCCCAGCAACAAACTGGTAGCCAGTACAAATAAAACAATACCATACTAAAAACAGCTTAGTTCCAGTCAGCAATCCTTGTACCAGGTGCAATTTCTGAACACTTTGCAAAGTAAGTCCCACTTAATAAAGAGCAGTCCAGTAGTCTAGTCTAAGGACAATTAGCATGTGCATGGGCTTAGCAAGATTCATCAAGAAAGGTCATACTTGGCAAGTCAGTTGATGCTTGAGAAAGGTGCCTCTTTTGCCACCAACTCCACCTGTACATCTAACAAGAGCTATAGTTCCAAGGTGAAAATTAAGTGCCAACTGCTGGAGTTCCTCTTGTTCAAGTGACAGACGTAATAGCAGGTGTTAATCTGGAGCGTCAAAATCACCTGATCATGACATCACAGATGCTGGGCAATCCCTGGAAGTTCTACCACTGTAAATCAATGACAAGTAATAATCATCTTGCATGAACCAAATCCTGCAGAGGGTTATATATGGGCATGTTAAGTGATACTAAATGGTATCTTATTACTAGGGGACAGAGAGATCCAGCAGCAAAATTACTGTATTTTTCTGCATATAAAACGACACTTTTTCCTAAAATAATGAGAGGAAAAAATGAGGGTCATTTTATACATGGTAGTAAGGAGGGGGAAAGGGAACAAAGTGCCTTCCCCCTCCATTTTCTTGCAAATAAAGAAATTTTGGGTTAGAAAAGTGGGGGAATATATTATACATGGAGCATCTTATACATGGCAAAATACGGTAGCCTTATCAATAGATTTGTGTTACCTGTGTTTTGATGTCGTTGATGCTCTGTTGAGCAACAGAAGGTCAACAGCGTTAGGCACACACCATGCTGCAGGTCTTGGGATGAGAACAGGTCCTCATTTATTGGCAGTGTTCCCCACACCAAATCTGAAGGAGTTACTAACTAGCCATGGTTACGGTAGCCTTATCAATAGATTTGTGTTATCTGTGTTTTATGTCGTTGATGCTCTGTTGAGCAAAAGAAGGTCTAGTGCTTTAGGCACACACCATGCTGCAGGTCTAGGGATGAGAACAGGTCCTCATTTATTGGAGTGTTCCCCACACCACATCTGAAGGAGTTACTAACTAGCCATGGGGAGTCTCCTATTCAACTGTTTAATAGAGTACAGTGGGGTCTTGACTTGAGAACTTAATCCGTATTGGAAGGCAGTTCTCAAGTCAAAATGTTCTCAAGTCAAATCTGCATTTCCCATAGGAATGCATTGAAAACCATTTGATCCGTATCTGCTCTTTTCTGTCCATAGAAACTAATGGGAAGCTGCTATTCTGCCTACGACCACTAGAGGGGGATATTTTGTTTCTTTTTTTCTTAGGTCAAGAAAGGTTCAGGGAAGGCAGGGAAAATACAGTCCAGGCAGGACAGTACCAGGCAGTCTGAAGACTGTCTCCCAATCCACTCTCTAAACGCTGGGAGGAGTGAGGTAGCAGACAGGCACCCTTTTCACTGGCCAACAGTTAACTGAAAGTTCAAAATTTGCACTTTCCCTGCCTCCCACGTGGTTTTTTTTAGTTCTTAATTCAAATCTAAGTATGGAAGTCAAGTCAATATTTTCCTATGAGAGTGGTTCTTAAGTCAAAAGGTTCTTAACTCGAGCCGTTCTTAAGTCAAGACCCCACTGTAGCAGATTTTTTTTTACTGCTTTATCTTTTTTGCCTCCAACTTGACAGCATTTAAATGGGAGATTCTGCCTTTTCAAGAGAGGCCACAGCTAAAATTATGCCTACTGAGACACATGTATGCATCTTCAAAAAATAAACAAACAAAGAAATCATATTTCCCCACGTGATCACATCCTTCGTTCCTTAGCAGAGCAAACTGTTCCATTTCCTGATGCTCAACCTATTCTCGGTTCCTCAAAAACGGAGCAGTTCTCCTGGCTACGATTAATCGTGTTTCCGCACAAAGCAGTTTTTGATGCTTTCGATAAGCTGTCGCACCTTCAGACCACATCTGTTTTATAAGCAAAGGAAAACCCTGCAAACCAGGAACTCAAGACAGAGGAAGCTTTAGGAGAGCCGCAGTGCCATACCTGAAAGGGAACACCCTCTGGATAGCGCCTTTGCAGCTCGGAAGGGAAGTAGCCATCCATGATATCTCGCAGGCATTGCTGAAACCACAAAGCAGGGTGCTTGTTATCAGATCCCCCTTGATGATGACTGAAGCCCCGTAGTCCAGCGATCAAGATGCACCTTCACTCCCAGTGACCAGAACCTCTTTATTTCAACTTCAAGCATACTTTCTTACTAAGGCTCAAAGGCAGAGTTGGATTTTTGTCTTTATAAAAAGATGAACAATGTCTCAACGTTTTCATTTCCCTATCCAATTTGGACTGCAAAATTTTAAGCCGGGGCTCAGTTTTGAAATGTGAATGATACACTATCATTTAGTACTTGTGTGTATGTTAATAGGGTCTGATATATGGCTGCCCTCCATCCCATTTTATCCACACAACTTCCCTGTGCGGTAGGTAAGGCCAAAAGGGTTTGGCTGACCCAAGACCGTCCAATAAATTTAATGGAGATTTGAATCTTGGTCTCTAGAATCCCTATCCTAATCTAAACCAGTGGTTCCCAACCTTGGGTCCCCAGATGTTCTTGGACTATAACTCCCAGAAATCTTGGCCACCATAGCTTGACTTCCACCACAACACCAAAAAGGGGGATATTTAATTTATCAGTAACATCTCTACCCAAATTGTACAAGGTTGTAAACCATATAAAGAGAGAACGGTATATACTCCCATCCAGTCTATTCACCCAAAAGATGGGGCTTTTACTGTGCAAGCAGGGACTTTAACTTATACCACCTTGTCAAACATAAGGACTAGCAACTCTTATTAACATGAAAATCATGTTACTGTGAATTTCGTTGTATGTACAGTATATATACTTACAATGACAATAAATTATTATTATTATTAAATCAAGCTTTATTCAAGTATCTGTTAGTATGGGGAGATACTAACACTGAGCAAATTTTCCTTGCTTAACTGTTAGAGTAAAAAAAAAACACCTGCTAACTGAAAAGTACATATGTGAGTGATCACGGAACAAAGGAAAGCTAATTGCCTTAGAGAAAGATCCAAGGAGTTGACAACAATGGATGTCCGAGCCAGCGGAGCCTAGAGGCAACGCCCTGAAAGCTCTTTTATTTACTTAGCATTATTTACATAGTATGTTGTTAAAATTCAGATAGGATACCAGTTATCTAATCGCAACTAGGATTGGCTGAAATAACCTTTTGATCTTATGCTCCACCTCTAAGTGAAAGGGCAGAATAAGGGGTTACCCCACCTGCTGGCAGCTACTGCTTCCTACCAGGAGTGTCTGCACGTCACTGGAACAGAAGGCAGCTACAACCTTTAAGCAGAAGTTTCCCAGATACACACGCACACTGCTTTTAAAAATATTTTTAGCAAATGGTTGTCTGACTCATTCACCAGAAGGAGAACCTTGAATTCTACATGTCACCACAGGCCCTGCGGGGGCTGAAGGCGTCTTTGTAAGTCCCAAAGAGGTGACACAACTTGTTCATTGTGTGTGAAGCCCTGCAACAGGCACAAGTAACACGACCAACACCCACAGGACGGTTGGGTGGAATAGCCCTCGAACAGCTGCAAAGGCAACGCGTGGGACTTGGTGTTCATTCGAGGATGAGAAAACGGCAGGGTTTTCACCACCAGAAACAGAACAGCCCCGTGTTCGTTCTCACTTTGCGTTACTTCCTCCTTAAGCTGTAAATCAATTCTAAAATAACAGCAGGATGGCGGCCGTCTGTCAGGTTTGTCAGCCAAAAAGGCACAGAAAGAGAAGGATGGGGGAATCTGATTCTCCAGTCAAAAAGAGTTAGTGGGCGGGGTATCTCCATTCTACATTCCCTGCCTCGTGGCTGAAATATCTCCATTCAGAGCTTTTTTTCAGATATGAAGAGACGCAGGGCAGAACGTTCCCATTTCCACAAGGAGAGAGGGAATCCTCGGGGAGGCATGGCTCTGTCCTTTCTCAGTTTAGACTCGCCAGGACCCTAATATCTACTTGGGGCTGAATTCCCATCCCTTGTCTCTTATCGGACATCCTGTCTCTCATGGTCATTGAGGAAGACCGCCCCCAGCAGTGTTCCCTTTGTCTTCAGTAATACTGAAATACAACTGGTGTGCAGCAGACTTGAATATTCACCCTTCCCAGTACTGTATTGACTTTCTGCTCTTTCAGGCTGTTTGTCTTCATTCTGCCTCATCCCTTCCCAACCATATTTAATGGGTGGCCTCCTGTGTTTGCAAGTCACGGTGGATTAGCCTATTCAGAGCATAGCTTTGTAGACATTACTGGTTCTGGCCTGCGTTTTGAAGATCCAGGGATGGTCATCCTGAGGCACAACAACCCTCAATATCCTACCAACATGCATTCCATGTGGTGCATTTGGAAGCCAGACCATTTTTTTCCTGTTATAGGGTGAGCTTGGATCTCTGCACCACATCTTTACTCCTCAAACGACAAGGGTTTCCATTTCTCTTTCATGACATTGCTTCCTGCAGGAACATCTTTATTTTAATAAATTTAAAGCATCCTGCAACTGTATCTGTTCAAACATTTTTTACGAGCTGGATCCTTCAGAGGCCATAGTATTATAACTATCATCATTACAAGCCAGTTTTTTTTTTAATGTAGAAAAATATTCTATAGGGCACCGGGAAATGATGTGATAAGAACCAGCAAATCAGGGCTGTGGATAGCCAGAGTCTGCTGGAAACAAGCAGAGCCAGTTTTTTTTCTGCACTTCATCCTGCAGAGCCCGAACTCTGACTAATGTGGAAGGAGTGTTTATCCCAGGAAAGCTTGACTACTTTCATTATGAGTCAAGTGTTGGTATGTATCTGCCCTCTTATACAGTTCCTTAACAATAACTGACAAGATGCCAGGTTTACTCTTAAGAGACATGTTTACTCCAGAGTGGTTTCTGGAGAAAAAGTGAGGATTTGTGCTGTCAGGGAAGTCTCTCTTATATCACGTAGCGCACATCAGCAGAAACCTGTCGGTCAGCAGTTCCCTTTCTCCAAGAAGTGACTAATACCTGTGTAGAAGGCTCCTCGTAAGACCGGAAGGGCCCGTTGAACATGACGATCCCATTCTGATAGAAGGTGAGGGGGATCGTGTCCAACTGCCTCAGCCTCGCACCAACAGCAGTGTGCTCAATTTGGGACGTGCCTTCCCCAGCCAATGCATTCAAATCTTTCAGATTTTCAAAAATTAAGTCAAAATTCATTGGGGTCCCTGAAACAAGAGACTCTCCTAGGACAAAGGAAAGAGAAATTACAGAGGGGAAAGCAATGAGTAGGGCAACTTCAAGCCCATCTTATTTAGCTACAAAGTCATTTCTAGCAACAGGACAGGGCTAGAAAAGGATTCAACCCTACCTGGACCTAAAACTCAGGATTCCCTCAGATGATAAGCAGAGGGAACAGGTCAACCCACCAGACTTCCACATTCTGAGTGACTGCCACAGGACCAGAAATCTCCATAGCCATTGACCCGATTTTCTTGCAGAACGTTTTCCCCACCAGGACCACAAGAGATGGCCTGTGAGGTAGGATCAGCAAGTGTGCCAGCAATGAGCTTGAGTAGCTGCATGCCATTCAGGACAAGACGTGGCTGAAAATTAACAAGGGAACCGGCAACCTCTTGTTCCCATATAAGCCCATGCTCTGAACTGCATCATTTCTCAAAATTACAACAGTTCAAATGCAAATGCCTTTTTAAACTGGGGAAGCAGATTGTGGCAAAGCAATGGAACAGTCTTGCTAGAGTGACATTTCTGTAGTTAGGTTTGCATTTTGAACTCCTATCATGGATGGTTTCTTCTTCTTTTCCAGTGGCATATATAAAAGATACAGGACAGGCGTTATCAAAACTAGGAGGGAAGTATGGCATTTCCCCCCCCCATCATTTATACCCTACTTTTAATGCAAAGGCTTCACAAGGTGGCTTACCCTTTAACGTCAAGGGTTTAACTGATGGCAGTCTATTAAAACAAAAATTAACCAGAAGAGTCAATTTAATCAAAAACAAGTGAAACACATTACGAGTCCAATAACACAGAGTCACCTAGGACAAAGAAATGAGAAATGACAGAGGAGAAAGCAATGAGTCGGTCAACGTCTAGCCCATCTAATTTAACTCCAAAGCCATTTCCAGCACCAAGACAGGGCTCGAAAAGGATCCGACCCGACCTGGACCAGGAATCCTTATTATGGCTATTATGGCTTGGATCTCATTTTGGGAGAAAATGGGGATAAAAATAAAGTACATGATAAATAATAATTGCTGTGGTTATTTAATGAACACCATACTGGAACACGGATGGTGCTGCAGGTTAAACTGCTGAGCCACTGGGCTGTTGACAGAAAGGTCGGCAGTTTGGATCCGTGCGAGGGAGTGAACTCCCGTTGCTTGTCTCTGCTCCTGCCAATCTAGGAGTTCAAAAGCATGCAAATGCAAGTAAGTTGTCTCTGCTCCTGCCAATCTAGGAGTTCGAAAGCATGCAAATGCAAATAAGTGAATAGGCACCACCTCGATGAGAAGGTAACAGCTTTCTGTGTCTAGTCATGCCAGCCGTGTGACCATGGAAAGTGTCTACGGACAAATGCCAGGTCTCTGGCTTACAAATCCGGATGAGCACTGGCCCCTAGAATTGGACACGACGGGACTTAATTGCCAAAGGGAACCTTTACCTTTATACTATGTACACAGTATCATTAATGTACATATTATGGAGGTTTATAAAGAAAAAAAAACCAGGTCTTTTTCCTACGGTATGTTCGTTGTTGCTGTTTAGTCATTTAGTCGTGTCTGACTCTTCGTGTCCCCATGGTATGTACAATCTCAAATTTCAATAGGCATAGATTTCACAGAGGGACGGAAGACAGGACCACAATAAATGACAGTCATTTGTCCCAGCCAACCTGGTTTCCAGAAACCCCTGGGTGGTTGACTTCCTTCTTCCTTTGGAGATTCCAGTGCTTCTGGAGAATCCGTCCCTTCTCCAACCCAGATCAGTCCATAGTCATTCAAAAACCGCTGCAGGAGGAGAAATGTGAGCAGTGTAAACAGGGCACCAGAATGAAGAGCCCAAGCCAGTGTGAGAAAATTAAAAGGGGTGTTAAGAGGCAAGGTGATAGAAAAGAACATTTATATTTCCTCTAATGGGGATTTTAGTTTGGAACTGAAACCCAATTAAAGCAATTCGGAAGGGAGGACAGATTCCGCGTCAAATTAAACACGGGGGTTCAGAAAATGCAAATCCAAAGAGGTTTGCATAGTTTAGGGCAGAAACACATGTTTGAAGAAATGTGGTTCAGTCAGACTTCAATAGAAATCCGTATTCAGTCCTGAAGACAATCTCTGTTTAAAGAGTTGGGTGAAAAACTCCAAACAGCTGGGGAAGAGTTTGAAAGCATAGCCACTGTCACAAGCCAGTTGCAGACTGCCTCTGAAAGCATCTTAAAAAGCTCACTTGGTCTGAACAATGGCCATAAAACTTTGGGACTCTAATATACAATTTTCTGAACTACCCACAAGACCTTGGTGCACAGGCTCAGGAAGATTAACTATCATCAATAACTAGCTGTCTGCTTCGGTCTAATAAAGTATCACATGTTCTTGTATAGATAAATAATAAAGTATCACCTGTTGTTGTAAGGTAAACTGAGAAAAAAAAAGCTTTTGCTAATTACTCACATACTTCCAGTTGTTAAGAAATTCCCTCTTTTAATGATGGATCATCTGTAATGTCTGTTTCTGACCAAACACATAAACTTCAAAATCCAAGGGCTTGAGAGAAAAGTACTGTACCTCCACTACAGCCATCAAATCCACAGGCCCAGACATACTTTCCCCTTTTAATGTCCCCTTTTTTCCCTCAACAGAAGAGAAATCAAGAGGCAAAAGGAAAACTCCCTCCAACTCTCTCCCCACCCTCCCTGGTGTTAGAAGCACTTGAGAAGACAAGTTTGCTCAAAGATTCTTGTTCAAGCCTAAGGACTGTTCACCAATGTAGAACCTAATGAAAAAGCTCAGACTCCTACCAAAAGAAATAAACTCTAGCCCCTTCAATTAATCTTACCTCCATTTCCCAGATCTGACGCTGTAGCTTAAGGCATAACTTTTCCAATTCTTTTGTTCTGCTTGACCCTGGAGATTCCTCTAATGGAAAAAAAATCAGAAGAGCTTGGGAATTTGCTTTAAACAAGGAAACCTGGCCCATACATCTGCTCAGGGATTTTGGAAAGTTACGTTTCTTCTGCATTACTTCCAGCTCTGTAATGCCAAGCCTGATGAGGACTTGAAATGCAACAGTCAAAAGCTGGCTTACGTCTGAGATGTTTAAGTGCTCTAATAAAGGTACCACCCACCCCACCTTCAAACTGTGTACAAGGACTACATCGTTTTCTTCTTTCTTATTAGTCTCTGTTATCGATTAACATTCTGGCACAGAATAGAAAAGAAAAAAGTTTTTATTTTAGACATGTATCACTCAAATGGACAATTCCACATATAAGCCTAGCCAATTCCAAACATTAAGGCCATAAAACTATCAGACCGCTTCAAAGTTTATGGTCAAATTCTGACAGATGTTCCTTTTACATTTTTACATGCTCACTGGTTTGTCTGGAAGGATACCTTTTAGTTACAAAACCCTCATCACCAGTGAGTCATGGCCCATGGTTGCTGTTGAGGGAAGGGAAAAAAAAAGGAATAAAAGTAAACATGGTATCCTATTACCTTTCCCTTTCTGAAGGATGTCTATTTCCTCCTCAAGCTCTTTGATCTTCTTATCCTACAGAACCAAAGGGAAAAGACAAAAACATTGTAATTTTTTTGGGATAACTTCAAATCCAACACCATAATCAACTGCAGCTCAACAAGATAATTTTCTGCTGGTTGGAAGCATTCCTATGTTCTCGGAGGGCTGAATTAAGTGAAGCAGAGCTCCTTTAAGATTGTCAGTTTATTCTAACTTAACCATGCCTCAGTTGGCATTTGGTAAATTAGCTTGTTTTTCTTTTTTTTAACTGGTCATTGGGAGGTCATAGGGTGAATGGGCTCTATTTACATGTCTGATTGTTCATGCAGGTAGATTTAAAAATGATGAGAGGAAGAAACTGCATTGCTCTTAGCCCTCCATCTCATACATATACACTCACCCACCCACAGCCCAATAAACCAACAGAACATCTTTTTTTTAAAAAAAAAAACAGCACTTAATCATTCATTTTTATGTGGCTACTGAAGAGTCGGATTTGTTTTTCCAGCTTCCAGCTATCCATTCATAGGCTGGGCAAAGCTGGTTTTTCCATGCATTCAGCACCAGATATGGAGGCAACATTTATTCCGGCTGCAGAATTTAAGTTCTGAAGTTGGTGTTCATTTTTTTAAAATGTGCCCATCTTTAACTGAGTGATATCTGGGCAAGTAAATGCATGCTCCAAGTCATAAATATTTCTAGATAAATGAAAAAAGAATATATTTGTTCATCGTTAAGGTGCTACAATTTTTTTTGATGTATGTTTCCTGTACACTGGTCCATTTATAACCAATGTGAAGCAGCTCTCATGTTGAATAACTACTCAGGCTTCCTCTATAGCTCCTTTTTCACTGGCATAAGCAGGAACACCAGCTATGGATAGCAATGGGCACAGCATCCAAGATGCATGTCTTGATAACTGCTCTGAATTCTCTCCATGTGTTTGACTGGAACTTTAAACCTCTTCAAGATTCGACACCCAAATGTCTCCCTCTGCCAACGTGCACCTACTTCCACCTTGCTGCAGAACCAAAGAATTAGTCCTACAAGTCCATCTGGGTACCCAAAGGAGAAACAGATGTCTCAAAATTTTAAGGTGGTACAAAAATAAGCAGGCACGTTGTGATTTTGGCCAATATCTTGCTGCACAGCTCTGCATACACAACAGGACTAATTTCACCAATAGCAAATTGCTGCTGATTGAAGACTTCTTTTTTCACTTTCTGAGTGCACATGGTACACAATGAAATGTGCAGTCTAAAGATGAGAAATAAAGTCTTTAATCAGCAGCAGTCGGCAGCTGGCAATGGCACCATTTCCACTGTGCAGGCAGAAGCCTCCCTACAGGATTTCGGCCTTACTGTTCCCTTTTGTTTGGTTTTGCATTTTTAGAGCTAAATATCTTTTCATTCCCCCAGGTTAAATCCCTTTTTGATTCTTATTGTTTTAGTTCAATGGATGTTTACTCCCTGGTACTCTTTTAAGTGACTGCTTTAATCCTATTTGGTTGTTTTTGACCTTCTGCATTTTACTGTGTTACCAATCCTCCTGCTTCATTTTGCTGATTTTGCTACTTTGTCCTGCAAGCCACCGGAGAATTTTTTGTCGCAGGACAGCCTATAAATAGAGTAAATGAGTCACAAATCACAAACCCATAAAATCTTGATGCCAATCTGATTTCAACTGGCATCAGTTTGAACTGCCATAAGCAACCGAGGCACAATATTCACCCTGAGCTGAATGGATTGCGCTTGGTTCTTGACTTGCTGTTCCAAAGAAGCGATCTTCTGCATCATGCACGACATCAGCTCCATGTCAGTGGGAGCAACCCCTAAAGGCACGAAAGCAACACATCATGAGAACAATGGAGGTTTACACATTCGTTCCAGCTGCCAGTCTGACAATGACACATTGTGCTCCTACACAGTGCCAGAATGCTTGGTATGTTACTGATGTTGATTCTCTGTCCAGCTCCCTGGTAGAAACAAGGAACAGCCAGTTTGTGGCTCACCAGTAGGAGAAAACGGCTTAACAGATAACCAAGAATTCCCTTGTAATCATTTGTTGGAGTGAACAACTTCTCAGGTTTAAGGGTAATGAATTTTGAACACACTGGAGGCTGCACCAAAGTTTCCACTGAAATTCAGTAGTAACTGCTGAGTTTGTTATAACAACATCAGTGGTACAGGGGAGGCCCACAGCATCATCCGACACCACAGAGGTCTGCAAGATACGATTCTCTTTCCTCTTTCAGAACTGACAGATTCTCCAGCAGCATGGTGTTGGGGCAGGCTCAACACAGGAGTGGGGTTGCCATCTGTTGCCCACACCTGATGTAAGTCACTAGGGTTGCGAATTAGATTTTGGAGACCTTCAACTCAGAGTGACCTTTCAGTAGGCATTCTTAAGGCTTCGTTCCCACAGAATCCCCATCTCTTAGGCAGATGAACATTTTGGTTAAGATAGGAATACTACGATGGTCCATCCAGATGTCTCTCCAGATGTTTTAGGTCATGAACATGTACAGGCAGAAACACAGCAGAACTGGACTGCAGGAGAGGCCAAGGAACTCCACATGACATAAACTCCACCCATTTTGCCTGCAAATGAGCCAAAGCGGGGAGGGGGGAGAACTGATGACCGGGGAGAAAGGCTGCAGACGTGACATCATTTGCATGTGGCTGTTTGTGTTTGTGGATTTACAGGAGAGAAAAGTGAAATTTCACATAATTTGGTTAAGCACTGAACACCTGCGTCCTTTAATCTAAGAGACAAAAACTTTGGGCAAGTGTAATTTCAGAGCCATCTTTATATGGAACACAGTTCATACCCTGGTCAATCTGTTATCTTTTCAAAACACATTCTGTAAATCAAAGTCCTTTTGTTTACGAGGTCTAATTTTTCATGCACTTCCTCTGCTTTCATGATCCTATCTATACTTAGGCTGTGAACAGACAGTACAACGTAAAAGTTAAGTATGCTCATTTTGTTCTGCTGTTCTTGCATTATCTCCAGCAAAAGACTTTTTAATTTGGGGGTGGGGGTTGTCTTCAAAGTGACAACTTTTGTAAGTTCACACTATGATCAATAAACCTCTTTCAAACTGTTGGGAGTGTTACAACTTCACATGCTGCCTCCAGTTTGTTTGGCTGGGAGGGACTTTTTTGGCCTGGAGTGACTGTCAATCTATTTAGCACTGATCAATCATTCCTTCCCACCTCTGAATTCAAAGAAAGTCCTGCCTCTCTGCTGAGTGCTTTCTCTTTTTTCCCTTCTCTTTAGTTTGCTGGAAGCAGTGTTGTTTGTTAGTTTGCTGTTCATCTGTTCTCAACTGTAAGTAATGAAGGATTTTTATTCTTTCTCCTACCAATGTCTCAGAATGAGTTATTAAGACCTTAAATGAAAAAGGGGTGGACTCTGGAGAACTTGAAGCTATTCTCTTCTGTGAGTCCCTATTATTCTAATGAAGGACCCCGTAAACCCGGTAGAAGCTGGTTCACAAGCCTCAGACCCCCCCCCCCCCAGACACCTCACACAGAAACCACCCATCCTTCCCTTGCTTCCTGGGGGGAAAGAGCTTATTTTTAAAAGGAAGTTTGGATTGGAACCAAAGCCTTGGACTTGGGACTCAGACCCTTGTGAACATCCCTGTTTGTCTGCTATTGTTTGCAAGTGATAGATAGCAAGAAAAAAAGATCCATTTATGCGAGCAGATCCCAATCCATGGGAGACAGTTTTATTTTATTTACCTATTTATTTTTATTTTATTAAATTTATACCTTGCCCATCTAGACCAAAGGTCTACTCTGTTCATTAAGGACTATTAAAAAAAAACAAATGGGCATAAAGTGGAATCCCTAAATAAGGTGGGATCCCTAAATAAAGGAAACATATAGACACTGGCTGCAATCCAAAACGTTATATGTGGAAAACAGAAGCTGGTTGTTATCAGTTTGCTTCCCACCCTATGTTAATTTTTTCTCCTTTCACTTCTGTTCTTACCACAACTTCTCAAACATACCACCCACACTAGTCTTAATTTTTTTCCTCTTTCCCCTCCCTTCCTTCTTTGGTCTTACAACTTTCTGAATGTTGTTATACTCTGCCACTCCTACGTTACAGTACTCAGGAGGTGAAGACAAGTTCCAGAGCCTCTGTGCGTGTCACTTGCCACATTACGTTGATGCCCCGGAGTGATGAGGTGGTGGGGATAATTCATGATAATATCATGTCTGCTTTCCATCATGTCAGGGACTGCACACAGTTAATCCAAAAGAAGTCTAGAACCAGGCCTTGGGAAATCAAACTGTGAGTCCAGGATCAACCACGGTCCTCACATTGTTTTACAACATGCACAGTCAATGTCAAGGAGAGAATCATGGAATAAAGGCATTGGAGGAGGCCTATAAGGCCACCCAGTCCAATGCCCTGCTCAGTGCAGGAATCCAAATCAAAGTATGTCTGACAGATTACCAGAAAAACAATTGGGTCCCAGATCAAAGCAAGCCTGATCTGGAGGCAGAAATGTTAAAACTGTGGTTGCCCTCTTTTGGAAAGTCACGAGAAGACAGGATTCTCTGGAAAAGACAATAATGATGGGAAAGGTATGCAGGCAGCAAGAGAAGAAGAGGAAGACCAAATACGAGTTGGATTGACTCTTTAATGAAAGCCACAGGCTTGAGTTGGCAAGAGCTGAGCAGGGGCTGTTGAGGACAGGCCATGATGGAGATCTTTCATTCATAAGGTCACCATAAATTGGAGGCAACTTGATGGCACATAAAAACAACAAAGGATGGACAAGTAGACTATCCAGGCCTCAAAGCCCTTGAATTTCCTTCCCAGAGTTTAAAAGTATGATGTGATTTCTTTGTACGTTCTCTTGGCAGTGTCGTTTGTTCCCCCATGGATGAGAAGAAAAGGAATGGGTCTGTGGGTTTCATGAGAGAAGGCAATCCTTCCACCACATCCCTAAACTGTCCTTGAGGAAGCCAGTAGACCAGAAGGGTCCATGGATCTTCCTGGAATATAGCAGTTTCAGTCCCACTCAACGCTTCTGAAAGTTACTTAAAAGACTTCAAAGTGAAGTAGGAAGATCAAAGGATAATCAAGTAAAATGGGACTATTTGAATACAGGACAAATTTTCTGCAAACGTGGAGAAATTCAATCAAAGCAGTATTTTATAAATGGCCAACCTAATGCTAATAAAGTAGCTTGCTTCTGGTCAAAAAAAACAGCCTAATACATAATTTTAATTTTTTAAAATTTGTTTCACTTTTATCTCTGTTTCACATATGTCTATCATTTAAATCAGTGGTGTCCAACCTTTCACTTTCCCTGGGCCACATTAGAAGATGAAAATTTGGTTTGGGCCGCACATAAATTTGGCTTGGGGCGCATGGGTATAAAGTAGCTTGCTTCTGGTCAAAAAAAACAGCCTAATACATAATTTTAATTTTTTAAAATTTGTTTCACTTTTATCTCTGTTTCACATATGTCTATCATTTAAATCAGTGGTGTCCAACCTTTCACTTTCCCTGGGCCACATTAGAAGATGAAAATTTGGTTTGGGCCGCACATAAATTTGGCTTGGGGCGCATGGGTGGGCAGCCCTAGCCTTCCTCCACAGCCCCGCTCCAAGTGCACTTACTGGCAGCTGCGATCTCAGACAGCAGAGACTGCCAGCTTCAACTCCGGTGGCATTATGGGGCCTAGAGGGGGTCCACCTATTAACAGGGATGGCACAATGCAGTCACACAGCTCCCCTCCCCTCCCTTCCCGCTCCTTCCTTCCTTCCCTCTCCCCCCCCAACCCTGGCCTATAAGGCCACCCAGTCCAATGCCCTGCTCAGTGCAGGAATCCAAATCAAAGTATGTCTGACAGATTATCAGAAAAACAATTGGGTCCCAGATCAAAGCAAGCCTGATCTGGAGGCAGAAATGTTAAAACTGTGGTTGCCCTCTTTTGGAAAGTCACGAGAAGACAGGATTCTCTGGAAAATGGCAGCAGACACAAGGGACACCACCTGATGCAGACCACAACCACCAGAATACAGGAAACAAACAAACAAAAGAAGAAAACGCAAGGCAAAATTCATCAGGCAACGACCTGGGCCGCATGCGGCCCTTGGACCGCAGGTTGGAGAAGCCTGATTTAAATTGTACAACACTCTAATATGATTTAAAAAAAAAAAGGAACCTTATGCAGAGAGAACAAAAATACACTCATACTGCAGTGACACTCATAGAATATAGGAAACAAACAAAGAAACAAATCCAAGGCAAAATTCATCAGGCAGCTTCTTGCTAGCTTAAAAGTGATGTGATGAAGTACAGTTGTTTGGGAGATAGAAATAGGAACAAAGTGTACATTTGGTCCCCTCTTGTCAAATAATAAATAAATAAACCTCAAACACATTCTGAAACACATTCAAAGCCACAGCATAATATATTTTCAAACTGGCTTCTCCCACCCCACCCCACTGCCATAGGGTTTATCTAAAAGCTTGCCCCTGCCCCATGGAATGTTTTGACTCTGCTTCTTTAAACAGGTTTCAAAATAAGTTTGCTAGTTGGCTCATCTACTCACTACCTGAGGGGGGTGGAAAAAGATTTAAAGGCCCCTTATGTTCAACGGTTCTTCGCTCACTGCTCACATGTTTTCATGCCATGATCATTTTGGGACATTCATTTGTAATTTTTCTATCCTAGGTCTGAGGGAGTGAATTTAGATTCGCAAAAGCTTGCACTGGAAGTTTGATTTTTAGGGGTCTAAATTAAAGTATCATGTTTCCTACATGTGGATTGTGTAAAGGGCCACATGGCTCTGATGTTTCCATATGCATCTCAAGCAACATTAGGCTTAGAAATGTATGTTTTTGTTCTAATATGCAAAAGTGAGGTTGGCACAGATCGATATTTGGTGCCACACAGCAAATTCCTATGCCGTGAAGAGCAATAAAAGATTTACACACACACACCAGTTAATAAGAGCAAAGGGCACATATTCTCTGAGTTTCTTCAGGAAAGGGAAAACTTTCAAATAATGGAAAGGAATTGTGCTATTGTCTAGCCCTGATACAGAACCCATAAGCTGGCACAAGTACTTAGCATTACTTGTAAACAATCTTATCTCTAGCTCTTCTACTCATATCAAGCATACCAGGTTTTGTTGTGGTTCCATTTGAACAGGAAGGTCTACTGACTGGAATCTGTGCTCCCGGCCCCAGAATTTCATTCATCATAACAGCTTCATCCTCTGTGAACCAAAGATACAAAACCATGATCAAGTCCTAAACAAAGATTGTATCTTGCAGCTTCTGCTCTGTTCTTATGAAACAGAGGCCTGTTTCCTTGCAGTGCCATCAGTACAACTTTCTAGTGAAGGCAGATTTACGAGAAGTGAAACATACACTCAGTTTTTTTAAAAGCCTATGCCTGGGTCAAAACAAGCTGACCCACGCCCTATATATTTCCATGACACGAAATTGCACCTTCAGTTTCCACAAGGGATATATTAAGAGTTTCAAATGTTCTGTTTTAATTAACAGAGGCTGGGAACTGTGGTTACTAGTTTAAAAAACTAGCTTATACAATTGCTTATTATTATATGGGAAATGGTATATTATTAAAATTAAAGCAAATTTTAATGGATAAATAAATGGGATGGGGAATATTTGGCAGAAGGGGTCCAAGCCTTATTTACCGAGGTCAGTGGAAATTTTAAACACAACAGACATGGAAACATCATGCCACTATTCAAAGCATCCAGCATCCCGGAACAAAGCTGAATTCCCTGCTCTTCAACAGACCTCGTCTAAGTCACACACCCTCATTTTCTGCCTATAAAAAGGAAACATATGCCTGCTGAAGGGATGGCCGGGGGGGGAGGGGGGTTGACATTACAATAACCTAATAAACCAACGTCCAGTTCCAAGTAGCATCCTTCTAGCCTCAAATCATAGCTCAGCCTCATACAACACCTTCCTAGGCAGGATATCAGAGCTTAGTTCTATATATCTTTCCATGCCTACGTTGTTATTGTTGTTTCAACTTATATATCACTCCATAGTGCAAAACCACTCTCTGCTTGGTTTACAACATAATGATGTAGACAATACCTTGCCTCCCAGCAAGCTCATTTTATCAACCCCAGAAGGATGAAAGGCTGAGTCAACCTTCAGTTGTAGAAATGGCTCACCTGTACAGCAGCACAGCTGCCACATATTGCTTTCCCCCTCCCTCCACCAGCTTGCCCACTGATCTGGCAGCACACAGCTCCTTCGCTCCCTGTCATGATATCTTCCAGTCTGGGCAGGAGCCCGGACTTACTTCCTCCACCTCCTCCAGCAGCCGCCCACTCAAAGACAGCATTGCAGGAATCCCTGCCCTGCCTCCTTGTCTGAGTGGCCAGCTGCCACAATTTCCATCCCTATTACATACCATTCTGGATACTCTCCTTGAATGGCACTGTCCTTTTCCTGAAATCCAGAGGAAAATAGGATGTAACATTCATATATATAACAAACAGGAAATCAATTATTAATTATGTGAACTATTTGCTTTAAATATACAGTATGTAACAGAAATGAGTACACCCCTCTCACATTTCATAAATATTTTAGTATATCTTTTCATGGGACAAAACGGAAAAAATGACACTTGGCTACAATGTCAAACAGTGAATATACAGCTTATATAACTGTGTAAATGTGCTGTCCCCTCAAAATAACGCAACACACAGCCATTAATATCTAAACTGCTGGCAACAAAAGTGAGTCAATGATGACAAAAAACAGGAGCCACCAGTCATTATGGGCTAGAAGCCCAAGCTTGTTCTGTTGCTACCACTGGGCCAGATAGTTGCATGAACTCACTTACTCTGATGTCTGCAACTTAAGTGGCATTCTGCGAATCTTTCCCAAAGAGGAGAGAGGAGATGTCATGATTTATTTTGAACACAGTTTCATATCCTGTAGTGCAGAGAAGATAAAAGCTGTATTATAACTTGTTGTTACCATATTGAACTGAGAATTGCACTTAGGGCTTATCTATACCATAGAAATAGAAATATGTGTTTCTAGAGATGAAGTTACCAGAACTGGCCATTACAAGGAGACCAGAGATCCCGCTATGTATAGTGTTGGCTTTAATCTGCGTGTTTCAGCATCCTTGGAGGTGGCTTGGACCAATTCCCCTGGATATGCAGGTCCTACTGTACTAAATGTAACTAACCATGAAGAACTGCGAATTGAAACAAGGGATATTATCCGAGTAGATGATTCTTATACACAAATAACAGATGAAACCCTTAAAATTGTTAAAACCAGTCAAGAAGGAAAAGTGAGTGGTGAGAGGTATATGGTTAAAATCTTAAATACAGCAGTTTGCAACTGTCTCTATGAAAACTAATGAAATAATCAGTGCTAAAAAATAGAAGAGAACAACAAAAGATATTTTCCATAAAATCCAAGAGGAAAATTTAAACCTAGTTTAGGGGTGCTGAAAAATCAACGTGGAAATATATTACTCTTTGCTTTCTAGATTAGAGCAAAGCCTTTGACTGTGAGTGACCATTAGCTGCCCTTTGCATGCAGTGGGATCCAGATGCCACCAGAGACCTTGCCTTATGGGGATGGTTGACTGATTGGCTCCCTGGATGGGTACAATCCCTATTTTTTGGGTTGGCCATCTTCCTGGCCCTGTGTGTTCTGATCTGTTGCTGTATTCAGGCCACCCCTGCCATTATGTGATGTACAGTATTTGCCCTTGCCAAACACGCCCCTCTTTTTATGAAATGAAACGCCTTCATGGACATTGATGCTACATGCTTATTGCAGCTTCTAGAGGAGGGGCTGTGAAGGACGGAGCAAATGCCAAAGAAGAGGAAGTGCTGTGATGTACAGTATTTGCCCTTGCCAAACGCGCCCTTCTGCGCATGGGTAACTTTGCTGAGATGCGAGAAATTGTAACCAATGCATATGTATTCCTCAAGGACCAAGGAACGGCTGCATACTTTTCTTTCCTTTTTAGAACTGTATAAAAACTTGAACCCTGTTGATCTCATGGTCCCCACCCTACCAGGGACTGAAGTGCACACTTGTTTTATCTGAATAAGCCTGTTGCCCTTTCCTCCAATAAACTGTCGGCTTATTATTATTGCTCAAGACTTGACTAAATAAACTTAGCTAAGACACCAAGCTCCAGGAGTAACAACCATATGGAGCATGAAAAACCATGGGTCATGCTAAAAAAAAAAGGTGTGCATTTGACTGTACTCACGCAAAACATGAACCTCACAAATTCACACGGACCTATGGCCAAGTACAGCTGCCCACTTCATTCTGACACAGCATCGAATGAGGCCAATTCAATTCAATGGGTGTTTCAGGTAAAGTGGGGGGGGGGAGCGGGCGGACTGAAAGAGCAAACCCCATGGGAATAAGCGGGCGGGATTTACTTCTGAGGAGCCATGCAATACACAAGACGACACTGCTAGGCTGCAATCCTATATACACACACGCTTCCTTGGAAATACGTTTCACTCGTCTTACTTGCGAGCAAATGTTGCATTGTCTTTTATGTCGTCCCACAAAGAGGCTTGGGGTTCGGGATGCAACCCAGACAATCATCTCCCGCCTGGAGGGCGTTCTCCCTTTCTCGACTGATACAGCCACTTACCCGCCCATCTGAAGGCTTGAGGCAGGCGCCGCCATCATGTTGACAAACGGTTGCCTAGGCGACCGCTCCCAGGCCTGCGGGAGAGTTTCCGACCTGCGCTCTGAGCAAGCGGTGCTGCAGGGGGAGATGCTTTCTGCCTCAAAAATAAAATAAAATAAAATAAATCGTGTGTTATTTCTTTGCACGGGGGCAGGATCCATGTTTGGAGGCAGGATTCCCCCATGCTTGCGTCGCCTGGCCCTTCACTTTTGAAACCGAGCAGCTGCAGGAAGAGGCGTCTCTCTGCTTTTATCGAAAAGTTAAACATGATCCCCTCTCATTTCCTCTTGCAGGCTGCAGCTATTTCCATTTAAGAAGCTAAACCAAGCCCCCCCCAAAAGGGACTTGAATAAAACTATATCATTTTGGAACTACCCACAAGAACTTCGTGCACTGCCTGAAGAAGATGAATTATCATCAAAAGCCATCCGATTGTTTTTTGTTTGTTTTGTTTTTTAGTGGCCCAATAGTGTTCCTCCTTTTGAATTGTTTTGGGAGCACACAACTTTTTCCTGATCTTTTTTTAATGATCCATGTTTATTATTTAACGCCTGCTCACTGACTTAATTTTATTATTTAATGCCAGTTACATTTATATTCTGCCTTTTCTTCAGTGATCGTAAAGTGGCATATTTCATTCTCTTCCTCCCCACTTTATCTGACATCATCCCTGTGGTTGATCACAGGTTGATCCTGTGATCAAACTGAGAGTGGCCTAAGGTTTTATAGTGAGTTTCGTAATTTGGTGGCAATCCTGAGTTGTGGTCTAACACCACATGTTTGAAGGGTTGAGGAGATCCGCTAAATCAGCTTCTCATGTATTAACCAGATGGTGGACACAAGGCTGGCAAACCCCTGTAGCTAATTGAACTTGATTTTATTAGGGTCAAGGAGGACAGGGTAGAAGAAATAGGAAGAAACCTGTTTTACCCTGCTATGACTGCTCTAAGCACTGTTATTTTGCATATTAGGTTGGCATAAAGAAGAAGTGGAATGGGGGGGGGGATTTTCTGCTTTATACCCTTATTTTTAAGTAGTTTTTAAAAGAACTAATCATTTTGGCACATCAAAAGAAACAAACAAAATCCACAATTGGGATTTATCTTTCTTAAGACCAAGTTAAAGGGGTGTAAGCTTTCAGATCCTCCAAAGCTCTTCATCAAATTAGGGGAGCATCCCACCTAACCTAAGGAAGAGCTCCAGAGGACTTAAATGCTTGCCACTTTTCTGGCAGTTTTGAGTCGTCTTGAAAAGGTATTGCCAGTTGTAGATTTTATTCCCCTTCCGCTGTATTGTCTTATGCAAGCAGTAATCCACATGCATACCTGAAACTAAAGGCCAGCCATTTCCTGAGAGTTATGCAAAATAAAACACAACTTAGAAGGGCTGGAAAGGCAGATGGTAATGTCAAAAAAGTGCTTGTACAATTTCTACAAAATCATCGCAACTTCCTTTAATAATTTGTGAGACAACAATTTATAAAAAACACTTTAAAAGCAGTGCTTAGATTATGAAGTTTCAAGAGAAAATGTGATTGTACATCCTTGCATTAGGTTAGGCTACAAAGAAAGAGAACATACACAATATGACAAGTTGCCCGTCTGTGATAAAGAGGATTTATTTCCATGGGAGGGTAAAAGTCAGGTCCTGCACACTGGTTCCTATGCCCCACTCAATAATAGGATACCCACCCACCTACCCCCAGAATTTTCAAGAGTGTGTTGGAAGGCTGGTTATTGGCAGTATTATTCTATCAGTCTGTTTCAAAAAGCATCACCTAACCCTGCAACTGCACCATGAGAAGAACAGGAAGCAATGGGGGAGGGAGGAGTTTGTGGTCCGTGAGCTTTGTCCCGTTTCTTTTCCCTCTATGCATGAAAAGTGTGAAACCTCTGAGTCTCTTCTTGCAGAGAGAGAAAAACCATCCTGTGCTAAAGTCTGATCGCACTGAGCTACCCTCAATTGCATCATGAAGGCCCTCCTGCTCATCCTTGGCACTCTTCTGTTGATTAGTTTGACTCTGGCTGATAACAAGGTAAGGGTCATCTCAGCTGACAGAAGTAGAAACTGAAATGCAATTAAGTGGCTAATGAAAATGCAGATCTCCCGTGACTTTGAAGTCATAGCAATTAAGTGGCTAATGAAAATGCAGATCCGTGACTTTGAAGTCATGAACAAGTGGCATTAAATGTGTCCAGTCACATGTGACTGTGCGTGTCTGCACATCTACCTGTGTGTCTGATGACTTAGGGTGACGGTCTGTTCATACAATGAATTAGACTCTGGTCCACAAATGCCATCATATACTTGTTAGTATTTAAGATGCTGTGAGGTCACTTGGTTAATTGCAATGAACAGATCAGACAACTCTTTGCTGGATTTAAAAGTTCATGCTAGAAAGTAAGAGCATATGGCAGTGCAACCCAAATTGCATTTGGAACATAGAACGCACATTTTATAATGAGTATCAGATTTAGAATGTTGTTCTGTAAAAGAATGTTCCATCCTTCCGATGTTGTGGGTGCCCCATTGCTGGAGGTTTTGAAAAACAGATTGGACAGCCATCAGTCCAGGATGGTATGAGGTCTCTTGCCTTGGGCACGGGGTTAGACTAGAAGACCGCCAAGGTCCCTTCCAACTCTACAATGATTCTGTGATCCTGAAGCGACCATAGTTTCTAGTTAGTGCCGTGATGCAACCAGTTGGTTTTGGTAATTAGATCTCTGTGTATGCTTCACTTTCCCTTGAGATGAAAGTGGGTTAAAGTTGCTAGTTGATCTATTGTGTAATTTGGAATTTAGTGGGGTGCCCAGTTAAGTAAGCATCCATCATTTGGATTCTGTCTTAGACGGGCTTGTGTTTTGCAGTGCTTATTTTCTTTTTCAGGTATGTCCTATTAAATTTAGTGAGAAGAACTCTCCAGTAAGTGAAAATAGCACTACAAATACAACACAGAAAATTCTAGAGAGATGTATCATGAGATATATAAGGGTGCAAAAGGATCTTTTCCAAACAATTTGAGAATACAGAAATACTCAAACATGTACAGAATAAAATCAAATTTGATTCAGTTGGAATCTATATAAGGATGAATGCAGTTAATGTACTTTCTTTGTGAACTATTTGTTACATTATTTATTTTAAAAAACTGTAAGAAAAGAGATAGACTGTAACATTTAAACCATTTGTTATCAATAAAACTGAAGTAGACACACATATACTGTATAAATATTACGGCCCAAAGCATTTAAACTTCAAAGTTGATTCTGAAGGAGCCCATTTTAGTACCCCATCACCTGTTCTTTCCTTGTGTACTGCTTCTAACTTATTACATAGCAGAATAAATTTGGCCCTCCACACATTTTGGATTTTAATCCCCAGATTCCCTAGCTAGCATGATCAAGAGTAATTATAAGAGTTGTAGTCCAAAACAAGTGAAAAGTCAAAGCTGTACTCATGAAATGTGATGTTCAGAATCATATTTCAGGACACCAAGAGCTCATTATACGATTGGCCACCTTCCTCTGATGTTTCTGATATGTGTGGCATATCTCAGACGGTGTCAATACATTTCCGTTCACCTGTTATTGCTTTTTTTAAAGGAACAGATATACTTACAGCAATTTCCAGTGGATAATGTCAGTTACTTTGTTTTTCTAAGAGTATCTCGATGTGTAGAAATTCCTCTGTGAAGCTTTCAAATCTTTGGGATGAAATATGTAACCGTCCCGGGATCTTCAATGTCAGAGATTCTTAAAGGAGCACAATGTTAAAATGCACAGTCTGATCACTTACGGTCAAATCTCAGTTTTAGTAACACACAATTCTCCATCTCGACTATGTAAAACTCTACATGCCATAGTCAATGTTCCTCTTTTATCCAGACATATAATACATTTTTTTATCCTTTCAATATCTTCTAGACGATTTGTTCCCAAAACAAGATATTATCCCCTCTCCCAATGGCGTAGTGAAAGCAGGTGATGGTGAAACTAAGTTTATCATAAAGAATGAAAACCTTTAATCAGCTATTTCTTCTCCTCAACTAAGTTTATCATAAAGAATGAAAACCTGTTTCATAAAGAATGAAAAGCTGTTTCTCCTCCTCCTCATTATTATTAATTTAATTTTTCATTCCCTTTTTTCCTCTGTGGAAGTAAGGCAGCTCAAACAAATTTCTTCAGTTAATATTGGTCTTTTTAACTTTAAAATATTTTACCAAGTGTTTATGTTTATTTTTTTTATGTTAAATTACATACTGATATTTTTGTTAAAGGGAGTTTGTTGATGATCAAGGAGTGATGGGGAGCCATGAGAAGGTCCGAGAAATCAAAATGGTTGTGGCACCAAAAAAGTTTGGGAATCACTGTCCTACAACGTAGTTGTCATGTGCCGTCAAGTTGCTTTTGACTCATGACAACCCCATGAGAGAGTGAGCTCTAAAATGTCCTGTCCTCAACAGCCCTTCTCCGTTTTTGTGAACTCAAGCCAAATAGGAGAATGTCCTGTCCTCAACAGCCCTTCTCAGTGTTTGTGAACTCAAGCCAAATAGGAATAAATCCATCTCATATATTTGGTCTTTCTCTCTTCCACCTTTCCCAGCATTATTGTCTGTTCCAGAGAATCCTGTCTTCTCATGATGTACCCAAAGTAGGTCAGCTTCAGTTTCAATCCCTGTCTTCTCATGATGTACCCAAAGTTGGTCAGCTTCAGTTTCAATCTTTTTTGCCTCCAAAGATAGTTCAGGCTTGATTTGATCTACGACTCACTTGCTGGTCTTTCTGGCAGTCCATGGAATCAGCAAATTTTTCCTCCAGCACCACACTTCAAACAAATCATTTCCCCCCTCTCACCTTTCTTAAATGTCCAGCTTTCACACCCATAGTACAGTATGGATGATCTTGGTCTCCAGTGACATATCCTTAAACCAGATCTTTTCTAATTCCTTCATTGCTTCCTTTCCTAGTCTCCATCTTCTGATTTCTTGACTGTACATAGTCTCTATACATACATATATGGGGGATAAATTTGGCCTTTCATATGTTTCGGACTTCAGCCTCCAGAATCCGCAACCAGCATGACTAGGAGGAATTATGGGCACTGTAGTCTAAACACATGAAAGGGCACAGCTTCCCATCCTGTCTTAGACCTTTCATTTGTAACCTCATGCTGTACTGAGAACTGCTATTCTCCTTTGCATGCTCTTTGAGGACCTCCTCATTGTCAAATAGGGCATCATGTTTCAAGAGGTATGTAAGGATTTAATGAACTGTCTTTCTGCAAGTGTAGTTAACACACATGGAACTGGATTTAATTTTTAAAAATTCCATTGTATGAGCTGCAGGGTATTTTCTAACTTTTAAATCAATTTCTGTGTAATGAAGATTATCATTAGGACTTTGAGTTTTAAGGAGACAGCTAGCATCCCAAAATGCTCCTGGCATTCCAATCCCAGCACTTAATTTTCTCAGTCTTTTCTCCATTTCACACAACCTAACTAAATTCAGAAGAAGGGGACGACAGAGGATGAGATGGTTGGACAGTGTCATCGAAGCAACTAACATGAATTTGACCTAACAGGAAGCAGTGGAAGACAGGAGGGCCTGGCGTGCTCTGGTCCATGGGGTCACGAAGTGTCAGACATGACTAAACGACTAAACAACAGCAACTAAAATCACACTGCTCCCTTCTTCACAAGCAGGTACCTCCATCCTTCACTGTGAAGACTAGAATCCAGGTTAACTTGAGTCAGGTGTGGCTGTTTCCCATAGGGGCAGATTGTCAGCATTTGCCTAACCGATGAGCTTGTTGTTGTTGTTGTGGTCTAATCGTTTAGACCTGTCCGACTACAAGAAGCAATTGGCTATGACATTGTTTAATCCCATACATTGCCTGTATTTGCCTAACAAAGGAGATACCTGGAAACTCTGCCACAATTAGGAAGGCTGCCTCTAACATATTATGCTGGGTAATTCCAATAAAGTCCCAAATCATTTCCTTGATGGGTGAAAGAGAAACCTGATCAAATTTATTCATAACTTGGATCCGGTTGTGTTCCCCAAATAAAACAATCCCCTTGGTGTCTGAAGCATGTTCCCCTTCTTGTGGCCGTAGTTTCCCATCTGTTTCTCCGTGAACTTCCTTTCCCTGCAGATGCTAAAGGAAGAATGGCTTACGAATAACAGGAAACAGGTTTAGAATGCTGGCCTTGCTTTCCTCAGGGTGGGTAGACCCCTTAGTGAATGTGGTTTCTGGGGTGAGAAGAGGAGGCGAGAAAGGCAGACAATAACGGTAAAACCTCTCAGGAAAGACATGCTTCTGGTTTTCAAAGGCTGGAGGAGGAGAATGAAACCCTTTGGGTACATACAGGCCAGGATCCTTTCTTGAACCATCCTATTATTTTAGCATCTTTCTCACCGTCTGCTAAATGAGATCTGACATTTGCAGAGTACAGATGACAGTATGATACAGCTGTCCACCACAGGACATCAGGGCTCCAGAAATGGCACTTGAGAAAGGGCACGTCTGATGAAATGCCCACCCAGTTGTCCTGATACGTCTGCCCTGTTTCAGTTTTTTTCTTCCTCTCCCCATCTCCATGATCTCTTACTTCTTGCTGTCTTCTCCCGTGCTCCTCCCTTCCTGTCCCCAACCAGCCCAATGCACTTGCTTGCTCTCTTCCTTTATTTTCTTTCCCTGACCTCTCTTTGCTTTTTCTCCTGGGGTCTTGAGCTCACTCTTCTTCCGTTTCCTTTCTTCCTTTAGAGCAATGGCTCCTTGGGTCTCCAGTTGTTCCTGGACTACAACTCCCAGAAGGCTTCACCGCGACCTGTGCTGGCCAGGATTTCTGGGGCTTGTAGTCCAATAAAATCTGGGGACCCAAGGTTGGGAACCACTGCTTTAGAAGAAGCCTGATGCATGTAGTTTGGAGCTCCCTATGCCCTGGACCGGCACTGAGCATAATGAGCAGGAGGGTTCTGCATGGCTGTCCACCTACTGAAGTAAGAGAAAAAGTACACATGACTGTGGGGTAAG